TAGCATAATTGTTAAAATTCATACTAATCATGACGGTGTCAGAGCGACTGCAATCATGCTGACATTGAGGATCATCTCTGGTCATCGCAGTCAGTGAAGCATACCTCAGAAATTACATCGGCCACCCTTCGGTGAACAACAAAGAGCTTGCTCTGATGTCCTTTCCAATACATTGAGTGGAAGGCCACATCAGTCACTGCAGCCGATTTTCACGGCGCTTTCATACCGTGCAATCTTCATGTTCCGTTGAATCCGGCTGTCTTCATTCATAAAACACTCGCCTTGAACAGCTTGTTTTCCTCATTGTTATGTGAAAACACTTGCGTGTTTTTATAAGCCACAATTCGACCGGATTTTACTTAACATTCTACTGTCAGATTGTGTATTAGAGACTAAAAAACTTCAGGCAAAAGTGTTAAATTCGACCTGCCGAACTATTTCAGTTTGTAAACTAATGCTGAGTGTGAGCTTTGATTGTTGGACATTTTTGACAGCTCTAGCCTTGTACAGCCAATCAGGTTATTTAAATAATTCTAACAGGGATTCTGATTGGCTTATTGTAGCGTACGTTGTGAGAGTTTATAGAGCATGCTGACGACACTATTGCTCGCTTTGGAAATAAAGTTTGTTTTGAAAACTGAAAGTAATGCGGGGGGAATTTAACGTATTCTTTATTATAAAACCAATAGAGAAGCCTTGACATGTGCTCTGTTCTGATATAAAGCACTTAGGAAGCGGCTAGAGCACCCGAGAAGTGGAAAGAAACACTCGACTACGTCTCGTGTTTCTCCTTACAATTCTTTCGTGCTCTAGCCGCTTCCTGCGTGCTCTAAGAAGAGGGCACAGTTAAGGCTTCTCTATTTGTTAATCAGGCCGTGCTCGTGTTTTCAATCTATTCTCTTTCTTTGTAGAGAGTCACCCTTTGTCCGAGAGGCTAAGCAAGGTTTATGTTTCTCCTCTTATCTGCACTGCATCTTTCAATTTACCATTATTAAGTAGTCTAAGGAATTTGATTGCGCGGCCACATCTTTAACACTTTTTAAACTTTTGTTCTGGTGTAGATTAATTTTTTGGTTGTAAATGTGATGTAAATGAAGGCGTTCGTTAGAGGTTGTTCTTTCCTTGACTTTGAATGAATGTAAGAAGCGTAGCAAGGCAAAACGAAATCTGATTCGAAAACTGAATTTGAAGAAGTTAAATGTTTAAGTTGATGTGTGTGTTGAAGGGTGAAATAGGTATAGTCGGCTTACAAGCCTAGTGATCCATTTGGCCAGTGAAAATACAGGCCAGCATGAAATTAGGCCCTTCTCCTCACCCCCTCCCTTCCAAGCATTTTTTTCATTTTTTCAGGTCTCCTTTATGGTTCGCCAGTAACTATTTATACACCACGGTGGTGAAAGGCTTTGTGAGAGTATGACGCCCAAAAACACTTTGACCCACATCATTAGATCCGGAGTCTGGTGAGTCTATTGTTAAGTCACCACGCTTCACACTCTTGACGCCTGTTCAACCAAGGTTTGGATAAGTTTTAAAAACAGTATACTGGCAAACAAAAGACAGAATCAAGTGAAATAACGATGTGATATATAAGTGCGGTCGCAGGATGAAGCAGATTTCTGAAATCTTATTTTTAAGCTCTGAAGTTGTTACTGAAGAATCTTTTTTGAAAGAGGAAGAAGAATACTCACGACAGAGTCCTTCGTTACATTTAACTGTCTTCTTAGCTGGGCCCAGTTCACTACAGTCCTTTCCACCGTTAAATGGCGGGGGATTGGTGCAGGTTCTCGTTAGTGTCTTTTTCCCTTCACCGCACGACACGCTGCACTCAGATTCAGACCACTCAGTGTATCCACCGTCAATGACTTGTAGGAGAGAAAATAACAGCAAGATTTTGACTTGATTAGGAAGCTACCAGGGCAAGATAGATGTGAAATCTTTCAACTGAATACACAAGCAATAATGCACTCAAAATATTAAGTTATACACCATTTCACGTTGTTTTGTCACTGATGTTTATTCATTACGTCCCAAATCGACGATCTAATTGCAGTCGCTCAGTGCCGGGATTGGGTCAAATCATTCAGGCCTGACATACCTAGAGACTACGTTGAGACATAAAATGGACATTATTTATGGCACTCGTCATTACTGCCTTTATTTTCCTCTACCCTTCCTTTTCAGCTTTCTGCTCTTAACGAAGTACGGAACGTCTATTAGGTAACTAGGTAGGCTACTTAAAAGATTGACTCTCTATTTGCAGTAAACGAATGATCTTTTTTAAAATCATATGATATCTTCTATTCGTTAAATGCAGTGGGATAAGTTTATGTTCAAAACTACAGATTTTTCGAGCTTCTCTTTTTTCGAATTTAAATTGGACCGCGATCTTTCAACCACATAATCTTTACTTGAAAAACTTTACTGGCATTTATTTTGAAAACGTTGGTCGATACACAGAAATTTAACAAGGAGAGCTTACCACACGAAGCTTCGAGAATATCTCCCAACTGTTCGGAGAGGTCACCAAACTCAGGGTACAGAAGCACTTTTCCATTGTTGCCTGCAATCTCTGACAACGCCTTTTTTTCTTTATAGACGTCTTTACCGACTCCCACGACAATTATCCTCACGCCTTTGCTCTGTCAGAAAAGAGTGAAACCTTATCAAAGTCATGAATTTCTAGATTGCTGCATCAGATTTGTAAGGAAGTTCATAACTACGATCATCTTCGAGACTGTTTTATCCAAATTTCTAAGGCAGATTACAAAATTTCGTGGTAGATATCGCACGAAGTTTATGAGAACAATACAAGAAATCTGACGAAGTTCGTTTGCATTTTTTTTACTTAATATCTTTGTTAAACATGTTTAGCTTTGGTAGGTGTCTTACGGTCACAAGCTCTGTTTGGTGGTCTTTCCTTTAAATTCTTTTTGAAAATGTAAATGTTTCGTCACTGTCGTTGCTACACGGGTGTGCATCCTGTAAAAGGGAAGACTACTAAACCCTGGTGCTCTCTATCCTTATTTGAATGTAAGATATATGAGAAGAAGAGAGCACCAAATTTTACTGAATACATCAAGGTATTAAGGTGAACTTCAGAATTCAATTATATTTACCTTTAAAACTTCTAACGAATCCTCAAACGGTATATCAGGTCGTTCATCCCATTTTGACTTAAAAGGTTTCCCATCGGTAAACATGATAATGAAGTTCTCAGCATTAGACCTGTCTCCTCCTTGTTCGGTAAACAACTCTCTCGCGACGAGATCCATGGCCAGATCTGTTCGTGTTCCCCAGAACTTAGGTATCACATTTAATTTCTCCTGAACTAAGTCTTTCAATTTGTTTTCCTCGAAGTATGACTGATCGTTGAAGTTGCTTTCGATAACGACCTCCTTTGCAAAGGTGACGAGAGCAAAATGATTTCCTGATGAGGAAACGCCTTTCTTTTCCAATATCTCATTGATCAGTTCTATCTTCTTACTTCGCTGCCGCCTGTCCATGCTTTTTGATACGTCGGCCAGGATTGCAATATCCATCTTTTGATCAGGACACTTACCTACAGATGATATCATTTTTATCAATGATTTGTAATTTGAAAATTCGACTGCACATCATTAACACACTCTGAGAGAGTAAACGGCCGGCCTGCATACCGGTATAGGCGTTGTAGTATAGCACGTGCACTGGTCTCAACTAACTATCATGGCATTTATCCCTTCATTGTATAGATATCGAAAATGCACCCGAAAAAAGCGGTTTTATTGAGAATTGGTTTCACTCCAGCGCAGTCCTGTTTCAGATTTCAAGGTCTTTGCTTAGGGTTATCAATAACTACGCGATAAACTGAAATGTCATGCTTGGCTTTCAACTAAACGGGTCGATAAAATCTGTGGTAAGAGATATTATCAACACTCCAAGATTAAATTCAAATCCACGCGCAGTCGTGTAATATCTTGTCTGTGTTACTTGCCGAGCAGCCAGCAGTAGTTATCAGAGCCGTACACATTAGGGGATTCGCCCTTCCACGTCCCATTTCCTAGTGATATTCATTTAGTACGCTACCTACGTGCTGGTCGCTATGTAGGAAAGTACAGAACAGTTTTAAATTCATTATGAAGATTCAAAAGCCCTTTAAGGATGTATTACTTCTAACACGCCACGATTTCTACGTGAGTTTGGATGTATTGATTAATCAAAGAAGTGAATTGTCTCAAAGAATTTGAGATAAACCAGCTGAAAAGATTCAGCTTAAAAATACCCGTTTTAATCAGCCAAAAAGATCCTTTTGTACTCTATATCGTGAATTCTCTGAGCATCGTATTCAATCACCATTGGGCTACTTGGGAAAAGAACTGGTTCTTCTAGCAAGCGTTTATTGAGGGTTGCTCTCGACTATCCTTCTTCAGCCGTACTCTCCGAACTCCCTAAGTGTATCAATACCCAAGTATGCACATGTGGGATCAATATCAGTATCTGGGCAACTGCCCACCTACCCCTCCCTTAACTCAACAACAGTCAATTGACAACGAGTTAAGGTTAATGTTGGGTTAAGGGAGGGGTAGGTGGGCAGTTGCCCAGATACTGATATTGATCCCACATGTCTGTCACTCTTTCTATACTGATGGCACTCGTCAGCTACGAAACACGTAGCATCTAATTTACGCCGAAAGAAAAAAAACGACGAAAATTACACACCTTCCGGCTTAGGTACAAATGACTCTGAAAAGAAAAAAAAGATGTAGTTCAGATAATCATCTCTCGATAATCATTAATTGTTCACAATTCTAATGCTAATAATGATAGCGATAACGTTAAGATGATGACAATGACAACTACTACGATAAAAGAAGAGTGTTACCCTCGTCGATAGTGTACTAAGAATTAAGACATAGATTACCAGCTATGAACCTACTTCTCGCATATTTTTTAAATCAGGTCGAATTGGGACTCAATGAGCTAACCCAGAGGCCACCTCATTATTCCCTAGTTGTATCAGAGCTGTTTATTAGTGTTACCTTTACAAATAGTATTTGTAAACTAAATCCTTGAACATTCTTGTTCTCTCAAACTTAAGGTCGTTTCCTGGGTGATGACCATCAATTAAAACCAGGATATTAGAAACCTCGCAGTCTTGAAAAACTGATCGCAATTGTGACGTGCATGGCGAAAACGTTTCTGAACGTTTTTCGTTAAACAGGTGATAAGAAGTAACTGATGGTTGGTTGTAACAGTTATTGACATGAAAAGCGTTCCCACAGTTTGTCCCACTTAAAACGCTCTAATGGATAGGTAGCCTGTTGTGCTATGTAACCCAACAGCCTAAGTTATCAAACGGTTGGCAAAACAAAAAATGACAGAATATTGAGATTGCTTCAAAAGTTAAACCAGCGGGTGAGTTCGTTTAACGGATAGCCCAACCCCGGACGGCTAACTGAAAGTGAAGGCTAATGGACCTTTACGCGGGAAAAATTACTATTTAGGTATACTTTCTCCTGGCGCAGTCACAACTATTCTTAACTCACTGAAAGGTTAAGCAAATAGTAAAGACAACTTACCACAAGTAGCTTTCACGATATCGTCCAAATGTCCGGGAAGATCATCAAAATTGGGGTACAGAAGGAGTTCTCCCTTTGGCGTGCCAGCAATCTTGGACATTGTTGTTTTTTCTTGAAATAATTTTTCACCGACTGCTACCACAATTACGCTCACATCTTTACTCTGTTGAAAGAACATAAGTTTGACTTCATCAAGTTCAAAAACTGACCCGAAGGATCAATCTTAAACCGGTTCGATAAACTGATTTAAATTTAACTCTTTTCGCGTTTTCTCTTTGAAAGTCAAATTCAAAAGAGAGTAAACAAAGTGTAGCAGTCAGTTATATTACCTCTAATGCCTCCAGGAAATCTTCAAACGGTATATCAGGTCGTTCATCCCACTTTGTTTTAACAGGTTTTCCATCTGTAAACATGACTAGGACGTTCTTAGCGTCAGGCCTGTCTCCTCCTTGTTCGCTGAACAACTCTTTGGCGGCAAGATCCATGGCGAGATCTATACGTGTTCCCCAGAACTTAGGTATCACGCTTGATTTCTCCTGAACTAAGTCTTTTAATTTGCCTTCTTCGTAGTATGACTGATCGTTGAAGTTGCTCTCAATAATGACTTCCTTTGCAAAGGTCATGAAAGCAAAATGATTTCCTGAGAAAGAAACGCCTTTCTTTTCCACCAGTTTATTGATCAGTTTTATCTGATCGCTTCGCTCCTCAGGTGTCATACTTTTAGATACGTCAGCCAGAATAGCAATATCCATCTTTTGATCTCGACAGCCACCTACCAGTCGTGACATTGTATTAATACTTATGTTTAATAAGGTCGACATAAACACCTTGTGTCTGTTCTGTTGCGCGTAACCACAGCTTAACTAAATGTTGCTCTAAAATATAGTGTATGACGTAAATGTATGTCCAAGAAACTCTTTAGATATGATATGTGTCGCTAATGATTTAGTAAAATATACATAAACGAAAGGAAAAGTGTAAAATAACAAACCTTCTGCCTGAGATAAATCTGAAAGAGAGAAAGGAATCAGAAACTGTCAGTTATAACCCTCACAAAGATAATGCGAAATAACCATTATAATGGATCGCAGGGTGGTTTGACCCGTGGGTAGCCTTACGCCTGAAGTGAAACAACCCGTTTAGAGATGTTAAATTGGTGTAAAAATGAAACCTGATGATAATAACGATACTTATAATTATGAAAACGATCGTGTAATCTGATCGTCCGAACGAGTGTATTCATCAGAACGACTGCTTTCGGAGGTAGCGAAAGACGTCTCAACGACCTTAATAGAATTCTTCAGTCGTTCACTAATTCTGACTACAGTTCTTCCTAAGAATTTTCTTATTTTCTGCGGATGATCACGCTTAAAGCTGTGTTCAAATAATTTACTGAATGAAAATGACAAGGGCAAGGAAAAGGACAATGGCAATAACAATATCAGTGATAATAAAAGGAAGTTCATTGTTATTTGAGGCTTTAAACGAAATAGGTGCACATAAATGCTTCCTACCTGAAGACAGGCTTAAAGTTAAGATGATACAAACCCAAAAAGTTTTCATCATCAACGAGGGCTCAAACTCTGGAACACAATGACAATGAGTAGCAAGTTAAACAAGTTAAAGAGTAACGCTGGACCAAAATGAATCTCTAGTTATAATCCGCTAATGCATAGAAAAGATTAAAAATGCTAATTATATCCTCAATTGGTGATAATTTTCATAAGTATCACAGACGTTTTCTGCTAATTCAGTTACGCTTTATTACTGACCACACCGAAGACGTGATCTTTATAAGCCTTTAAGTTTAAACGATAAACTGATGAAAACTTTATAGGATTACTCATTGCGAGTTTCAAATCATACCATTGTAGATGCAATAGTTTAATGATATCGAACGATATCTAATGAAAAAATCAGAAAGGAAGAATGAATTACTGGCACGCAGCACGCTTTTGTCGACACATCTGTCTTCGACAAAAAACTAATGTACTAGTAAAAAACATTTTTAAAATCTCTAACGGTCGGAGCCTTTCAATTTATTTTTAAGGTCGCTGAATAAACGAAACAGGTTGCAAATTAACGACTCATCATTGTCGGTGAGATACCTACCTAACGAGATGTGTTACTGAAGTATAGAACGATTTCAATTTATTAGCACTTTGTGCTGAACATGTATTTTTAATCATCATTTCACATCCGCCTTGGTTGTGATGAGGCGCCAAGATGATGCAAATGCTTTTATCATACGTTTTTTACTCCGCAGTCGGATTGCGTTCTACACGGAGCGGTGACTTTCCAAAGAGCTCTCGGGTCGTTGATTACGAACCAAAGGCTAATTAAGGGTGTATTGGCCTTTTTTAGGGTGCAGCTTTTAAGGAGCCTCTAAATGACTCCATTAGCCAGAAATCCCGCTTTTTTGATAGATCGATACTATCATACCTTTCCGTTTGTTTCTTATGAAGTACAAACCATATGAGAAAACTAACTCAGTTCGCAGCAAATTTTGATCGTAATTTATTTTGATGTGATGCCAGAATAGCAACGCTACAGCTTCTAAGAAACACCCTTCACTTTAGGTTTATGTGCCTTAAACCTCCCTGTAAATGAAAATGGTGACCAAGTATCTTTCATGAATTACTGGATTACAATCAGTGTTGAGTGCAAATCAATGTGGATGGTTTTCGGTGTAAGTGGCCAGCCATGTTAGTGGGATGGGATTATATTCAAATGATTTGTGACTTTGCGACAGCTTTACAAATTGAATTTGTACTGGTTGATCACTTCACAGCAAACCCTTCGACCTATAAACTTCTTTCAGTGCTATCATGTCTCGGTAACATTTATCATTGGCCAACCTAGTTACAACTGCAATAAAATTTGGATTTTTTCCCCTTGTATTGGAAATCAAGGAACAAGATCATTTCTTTGTCACTCATCAACAGTGTTATCCATTATGCTAATGTAAAAGCAATCGTTTGTTGGACTGGAACACCATTCAATATATAATGCAAACTTTTGTTGGTAAAAAAGAGTGAAAGCAAATGCACTTGTGAAAATTCTCTCTTTGAACACTTCTTTTCGATAATGGTTGCCTCGGCGCACCATTTAAAGGATGAGAAAATAATTTACAAGCTTTTCGACGGACAATTAACCTCAGTGTTTGGAAGTTAACTCAATTAGTTTGGGCGACTGAATACTCTGAACTTCTGAAGTCAAGACCTACGGGTGTTCCATTTCTTTCTAGCACTATTACCGATAGAATGAAATATACTTATTTTTAAAAACATAATTTTGTGCTACACTCGTTGAGAAGACAGTAGAAAGAGAACTGGATGACTGACTACTTGAAGCAAACTGAAGTGTTGCTGAGTTCGCTTCACTTTATTTAGCCCCAGTTTATAGTTTTTAGAAAAAGAAAAATCTCGTCCTCGGCATCTTGAAATCGACCGAAAAATGATGAGTAAAGTTTATATTTCATCGTCAGTCTGAACAAAACCGTTAGCGAAAGAGCACGAGACTCACCTTTCAAGATGTGATGGCTGATTGTGCCTTCAGTAAACTGTGCAGATGAGTTCCCACTAATAACAATTGGAAAGTTTCTCCAATTTATGTGAATTTACGATTGTGTTATCTGCTCTTATTGTTTGGAAGCGTAGATTTGGTCCCATAATGACGAAAGCGCCTTTTAACTGTATTAACCCGCATTTGGGGTGAGTACCGGTTCGATGATTTTCAAAGAAATCTCATTCTATTTAGTTGCCCACGAAACAAAAGGGTATTTGTTTACTTAAGTCAAAAGGCTATAAAGAAAACTTCTAGTCCCAAGTGAAATTGAAAAATAACAGGACAACCCCCACTAGTATGTATTATTTAGTAGCTCGAAAAAGATAACAACAGGGATACTGTGAATTTATATGGTGTGTAAACAGTGATCATTGGAAAGGTTCGTTGTAAAGACAACCTCTCCGAGCCAACCATATATCTGAATGTGACCTCCAGTCACTTTGACCAAAATGAAACTGGAAAGGATGGCCTTGATTCCGTGCGATGGTTCGCTTAGGGCCTTTATGAGAAGAAAAGTGACTTTAACATCCCATTTCGACCAAATAAAAAAACAGCTTTATTCATCAAGGGATTATGTCATAAATTCATTCACTAACTTTTCGCTGACGTCGTGTTTCTGTATCGGGTACTGAATAATTATTTCGTTTTATCACATAAACTGCGGTGTTCAACAGGGATTTCCGGCCCTGAGAAAAGCCGTAACAACACACGTGAAAAAAAATCGTATTTTCTTTCGTGTGTTGATATTGCCAATCAGCTGCTGACACGTCACTCGCCTTTGGCGCCACTCAGTCAGGTCACAAAAAGAAAAACCGAAAATTACGTATTCAGTGGCTTTGGTGTTGGCATTTCTCGCGGCTGAAAATGAAAATCGACAACTGGAAGATTTACCACTGGCCGACTTTGCCCGTTTACCTGAAAGACTTAATCTGTCGGTAAGGACAAAGTCAATAAATGAGAATTTTGTAAATTGAAAATTAGGACCATTGTTGTTTTTGTAATCATGATTCAAGAGCTTTTCCATCTTAAGAGTTAGCGCCAACTCACTCTACTATTGTTATTTGGGATTGTCGATTCATTTGTTTTTCTTCATTAATGAAGTCGGCTTTTCTTCTCAGTAAAGGGCTATTGTGTTTATATGATAAACAAAATAATTCATGGTTGCTTGTAGATATGAAATTGTTCTTCTCGTGTTGAACTCGACATCTCACTCGTCAGCTATCGAGTTCAACACTCGAAGAGAAATTCCATATCTACGCGTGCCCATGTATTATTCTCTATGCAACGAGTTAATTAAATAAATGAAGATGAGAGTGATCTTCGCAACAATGAACACTAATTAAGCAGAGGGCAGAATGAAGCCTGAAAACAATTTTTGTAGGCTTTACTTTCACTACTACTTTGAGGCATAATCCGCAGTCCAAATATTTAACATTCATATATTCGCAGTCGTTAAGTTGTTAATTGAGATGAAGACCAACCGCAGCAAGAGAAAAATAAGTCTGTTAACTAACCATACATTTCCAATACACACTGTGCATCCGACAACCCCTTTGACTACCAAGGAAAATTATACCCTGGGCTTAGGGATCGGTTAAAACCAGTGCTGTTACAGCAATGGTCTTTGCAAGGCTCCGATGTGGTAGGAAAAAGAGCGAATACATTAAACATGTCATTCACTTTTTTTTTATATGTTTCAAATATGCGTTGCAAAAACAGCACCGGATGCAGTTAGCAGGAATTACTTAGTTTTACGGTTTTTCCGTTATCCCTCCATAAATTTTATGCGCTAATGAAAAGAGACGATTTAATAACGTTACTGCCATGTAGAGTTACTTTGAAACGTTCTTTGATCGAGGTTTGCCCAATTTGTTTTCCTTCCAGGAAACTGACTTTTGAGGAGAGTTTATTTTCGATCAATTCGACAAAATCAATAAAATTGATCATGCATAATGAAAACCCTAATCGAGTTCATTGATTGCCGACCCAGGATTATAGTCAATTTTTGATTCTTAACGTCTGGGATCAGAGCCAATTTAATGAATTAACAGAGAGGAGAAAATATGAAACAAACTCATCTTATTAAGAGCCAATCTTGCTCCTCCTGATCGACTGAAAAGCTGCTTTGAATCCTTACACCCTGTTAATACCAGTGAAGCAGGCAAGAATTCCAATCTGTCGCCAAACGACACTGTGTTCCTTTAAAATGCCAAAAAGCTCCACATTTTATTGTTTTATAATTTTTTCAAATTTTTATAGTCCTTCCTATGAACATCTTAGTATTTAACAGAGATCAGACTGAAAATTCAAGCTTACGTTTGGCGAAGAATACCATTTTTAACCAAAGAACGCCTTTTTCATAGTTTATATAGTATATAAATATGGAGACCACTTTGATTCATTTGTGGCAGGCAGCTTTTTTTTAAAATAATTGATGATGTTGCACGATAAATTTAGGTATTCAAGCTTGAGAATATTACCAAAGCTGCCCTGTGGCGTTTTTTCGCCTGCTTGTTATCCGTGCGCTAAAAGTTGATCGAAAGTGATATGGTTCGTTGAATATTTCTATGGTATTTACTCAGCTTATCAACTTAAAGGGAACTTACACGATCTCATATTCTCTCAATTTTTTGGTTTCATTTTTAGTAGGAGCTTGCCCGCCCGCCTTTCTTGATTAATGTTCAATGTTTTGACTGAGTTAACAAATGATATTCATTCACCGTTGGCCAATTATGACAGGTAGCAGTAACGCTAATGGCTAATCGATTATCCGATTAAATTACTCTACCCAGAGCGGAGCCAAAATAATAGCTTAGCTTATGTAAAAACAAATAACTTTAAGGTAAAGCCATTTATCCATCAAAAGGTGCCCAAACACTTGGCCAACTCGAACAGTTAATTTCAATATAACATCTGACAGTGTTTACTTACAAAGCAGATGACAGCATTACAGAATATTTTTACTAATGCACCATTACCATAGCAGGAAATTATACTGTTAGAGTACTCTCACTGGTTGGCTGAACAATTTTTTTGACACCTGCAGTTATATTCGGTGAGTTATAACCAAGTTAAGAGAATCGGCTTTTTCAAACGTCTACAGGTGTTGTAAAAAAAAAAAAAAAAAAAAAAAAAAAAAAATCAAACAAAAATCAAACAAAAAAAACCGCATGCTTCTTAATGAAATCCAGAATTGCATTCCGCATCATGAAAAGTACACAGTCATTACAGTAGTTGTTGTATGTTTGTCTTCGGTAATAAAAGGTAACTTTTGAACCACTCCGGCTTATGTAAACGCGTCGACAAAGAGAAGCGATAGGTAACCAAGGTCTTTTTTTGAGCAGTAAGGAGCTTTTAGTCCATTAATGTAGCAACTTAAATAACTATATTGATTTTCTCAACATCCTGGATTACAATCGGGTGAAACATCAAGGGTGACGAAAAAATGGAAACCTGGTTTTGGATTGTTGGCTGGTTTCTTTCCATTCTGACGATAACAGGGAATGGATTTATTATCTTCCTTGTTACTAGCAAACGAAATCTTCGAACTAAAACCAACGCGTTTGTCGTTTCACTCGCTCTGGCAGATCTCTGTGTCGGGATAACAGTGGTTCCTACATTGTTTGTCTGCAACAAGGTGGCAGGTTGCAACTCAGAAGATAACATGATGTACATTGTTAGAAACTTTTTCGCCTTTGCGTCCGTGATGAACTTGTGTAGCTTGGTCCTGGATCGCTTCATTGCCGTTGTTCAACCCTTAAAATACTTGACACTCATGACACGTCGCCGTATCATTCAAATGCTTTCCCTATCTTGGTCACTTCCGTTTGTATCTCGAGCATTTTACGCATTGCCACAATTTGTTGAAAGTCCATTTCGCCTCAAGTTTCTTAGTATCCTAACTCTAATCATCTTTGAATTCCTTCCAACTATCATATGTGTGTTTTGTTTTCTATCTATGTTACAAATTCTCTGTAAACATGATCAAACAACTCGCTTGTTAGCAAAACAGTTAAGTTTCAACCATAAGTTTTCTCGTAAGAAAAGGGAAAAGTCAGTTGTTATAATGACGGGAGTAGTGGTAGGAATATTTCTCCTGTGTTACAGTCTTTACATGCGCTGTTCTTTTGTGTACTTATTCAGTGACGGTCCAAAACCATGTAATGATGTTCACTATAAAATCCCTATTTTAGTGTTAAACTCTGCCGTCAACCCATTAGCTTACTCTTTCTTTAAGAGAGACGTAAAGAAGGAGATTAAAAGACGAATTTGGTGTGCAAAATAAAACCTAACGGGAAGAATGATCAAAATGAAAATGAGAGGCACATGTTTGCAGCTGCATTCACTATCACTTACAATAGTACAAGTACAGAAAAACTTAGTAAACATTAGAAGTAATTTGACCTATCTCCTGAATTACACTGTAACTCAGACCAAACAAACGACAAAGAGTGCAAGAGAAACAATAGAAGACCTTCTTCCTCTAGTAAAGTCCTCAAGTTAACCAAGGTTAACGGCTCTACCATGCTTTATATCTTAATCAAGAGAGGAGAAAATTAGTACTTCGTGTTAAAGATGCTTGTAGAATTCAGTCGAAGTAATGCTTATGGCAAATGTAACGTGTATGTCCGGCGATATCAACCCCGAGTTATTAAAGGTAATTGAACTTTAGGACTCAGTAGATAATAGGCTGACAAATAGTGTGGGGCTTTTTCCATATTCCGACTGGTTCCTGAGAAAATCTATTTCTAAATTTGACGAAAGAAAATTTTTAGGTTGTCACGTTCCGGAACGTTATGAGGGATTTTGTCGCGAATTTCGTAAAAGCCTCACACGATTTAATGTGTTAATATCTGAAGAACATTCTAGCCGATTTTCACTAAAATCCAACAAATCTGTAACCCAATCAGTTCGTTTAGGTGACTCGCGTAAAAACAAACCTCGAGTTTTTCGGCTTCAAGAAATTCAGTTTTCGCACCTCATTTAAGCGCGTGTCAATGCGGTCTGTCGAATCTCGTGTTATATTTAGGATTTTGAAGACTTTGACCTTACTTTACTGCCAGTAACCTTAACTTGAACATTAGTAGCTTTATTGGAAATCTACAAGCCAGAGTGGAAGTGTTTGCTGTATTTGATGACGACTTTAACACGTCTAGGGTTCGTGTTTTAGTCAATTGAATCTTTCAACAAATATAACACTTCAGCTACGGATTAAAAGTTTTGAATATCATTACTTACAAAAACAGTAAACTTCGGGTACCTAAAAGAGTCTGTGACATTTCGGAAGCTTTCGGAATAATCTCACGACGTGAATACGAAAAGACCGCAGGATTTACTCAATTTCTCTTTGAAAAGAAACATTTCGATCTAACACAGCGGAATTGTTTTCCAGAATCAGGACTTATTTTCACTGCTGCTTTGGTAGTATTCATAACTGCGAAGGTAGCTTCCATGTTCATTTCTTTATCCACAGTTCACATTTTTGATTTTCATATCTTTATATTCATGAATTAATTTATTGTATTTTATTTACGTTCAGGAATATAACTCCAATGCATTTTCAGACTATCCTTTTGAAATAGCATTGCTAGTGTGAAAAATGTAGGGACTTCTAATTGGATCTAGATTACCGCAAAGTGGACGAAAGGCTAGCAGTCATGAACGGCGGCAATTCCACCACCAAGGAACAGTACTAACGCAAGGCGTTAAATAACAAAACTTTCCGAGGAGGCAATTTAAGGACAATTTATTATACTTATGAAATGTTAACTCTCAATCAGAAACCACTGGGCCCTAATTCTATAATTTTTTCCGTCTAAATTCGACTATTTAGCGCGTGTTGCTGGATTTCGTTCAGTAGGCGCGATAAAATCACTCTCACGAGGAATTGTTTACTTTAGTGCGACCAATGTAACGAAAGACGTGAGGACAATTTACGTCGTACAACGACCACCTGGGACAACAGTGTCCTCAACATTGGAAAATGCTCTGATATAATGGTATGAAAGAAAGATTGGGGCCTGAACTCGCTAGTCTACGATAGATATGTGTGCGTGTGCGATCGCGTTCAGTCAGAAAGTAGAAAGGAAGTCTCGGTCGCCAATGAGATAAAATGTTTCGCCTCATGGGAAGCATCTGCAGCAAATCAACACCACGTTTCAAGAAAATAACAGAGTCATCTCCTTTCACTGTATCTTTTCAGGCCTGCGAAAACGTGGTCTTTATCACTATCCATAACACATAGGACTTCTCTCTTGAGAAAATAAGAGGAAGGAAATTGGGAACGAAGAGGTAAATTCTGAGTACCGAATCTGAAGATAAGTACTTGCAACAAATCCTCTGGTGTTACTGTTCTTTGCTATTAACTTGTACTGTATCGTCTGCCAAGACCTCCGTTCTCCTCTACTGTGATATTTTCTAGCTCTACTCAACTTGTCATTTCCTTTTCCCAGTCTTCGCTTGTCGTTGTGTCGTCTAACTCCTCAGACGTATTAGCTTCGCCGTCCTTCGCTTCGAGTTCGGTAAGCAAAGCTGTAGCTTCGGCGAGTGTGTCGGCAGCGCTCGAAGTTCGTTGGAATGTTCGGCTGGACGAGTACTCATTGGAGGTCGTGGTGTGTGGGGCCCAGTAATGCTCGTTCATTTTTCGTTTGAGCCATTGCACGGCCCACTGCCAGCGTGACGAATTTTGAAGTAAGTAATCTTTAGCTTGCGGACATTTATTTGCCAACTGAACCAGGAATTTAATGCACTGGTATGCCCGGCGACTGTCAGTCGTGTTACTTGTCTTGATAACCGCTGGAAAACAAATAAGCATAGCTCATCCTTAGGACCAAACGTAAAACAGAAAGATCGTCGGCTATAGTTGTTCTTCGTTACCATAAATGGTCACCCGAAAATGGGCGTAGCCATACTACTAACCTCAAACGTGCAATCAATAGCATTGTTTTAAAGACAATGGCTGCAAAACGTTACAGGTGAAGTGTAGGAGCCTACTGCTCCCTTATGGTGAGAAGTTATCACTGCTAAGCATATGGGATGCTAGTCCATCGTACCCCTACCCCGCCATTTTCTCAAGTTTCGCTGAAAGTTTGCCGCCGCCTCTTTCTTTTCTCCGGGTGGGGGTAAGGCACTATGTACTAGGTCACCAAGCCTCTCGTGATAAAGACGAAAATTGAAGGAAGCAGAGCACATAATTAAACAAACTTCTCCACCATCCTACGGAAAGTTTTCGCTAAAAAACTCACCTAAGACGCCATCTCCTTGTTCATCGGCCACACATTTTATTCGCAACAACTGTAAAGGATCCTCGACCATCTGTTGAAAGTAACGCGACTTAGAAAACTTACAAGAAAAGAATAGCGTACGTTTCAGGTAAATATACACCATTACCGAATTTCTGCATCATTCATGCATTGATTGACCGCTAATTGCTCAAGGCTCTTGCTTTAATGGTCATACAAGTTACTTAAGATCAAACTCACGTACGGAGACCATCGTCAGTATTCTAACGTACCCGTGTCAGATCTTATGGCTAAGTCAGGAGAGCAAATGAAAATAATCAATCGCCTACTTTCCAACGTTAATGTAACATGTTTTGTGTTTTGAGTTGTTTTCTGCTGTGTCATTCTACTTAGCTTCTGAGTCTGAATTTCTAACGAGGTGCTACAAGGGACTGTGCATTCTTCATTCAGAGTCTTGTTTACCAGTAAATCAAGTAGGGCACCAAACAAATTCCTCATGTCATTGGCGGAAACAGTAGCAAGGAGGGCCTGTGAAATAAACGCATATCAGTGTGCTGTGCAAAAATATAGTATTCATTCAGTTCTTTTCCGAACTGCCTTTCCCTCCATTTGGTTCAACAATGAAACCAGCGTTCAGCGGATAAGGGTAGGGCTCAAATTAGTGTCCCCTTAATCAGTATGTCAAGTCTGGATATATTTAAAAAACTGTAACACAATGTTAAATTGTTAAACCCACAAGAGTAGGGTAAGTCCTAAGCAACCTTTCGGATCTTGCCGTTTCGCGTCGATATAGTAACACAAGGTGTTAATACAGCAATACAGGATGTCTGCTCGACATGGATCCTCGGCCAAATTGTTAAATTAATTTGACTTCTTGCAAGTTGTTGTGTAAGACTAGGTCAATCGCACAATTGATCAATCAATCAAACAGTTAGTCAGTCAGTCGGTCCGTTGGTTAGTCAGTGACTCTGTGTGTCTGTCCGTCCATACGTTCGTTAATGTGAGTAAATTTCGAAAATTAGTAAAACGGGCATGGACAACAAGAAAAAATTGATGCATGCAAATAAAACAAAGCAGAGAGACAATACCATGGACGTACCCTGATATGCTGCAATACTTTGATACTAAATTGTTCGTTGCACCAACTGCAGTGAATGAACATATTGATAATCTGTTGTGATGTGCCCATGACGTCACAAATGGCTGTAGACACCTGATACATAAATGAAACAACCAGCAGCTCACAATACTACTACCGGTATGATGAAAAGTATGACATCTTAAAACAGGGCCAGTTACAAATTGCAAACAGGGGCTTTTGCTAAAGGAAGGTAAAAAAAAAAAGGGGGGGTTACTTAGTAAGCTTATCCCAGTTATGCGCTCATGTGCGAAAACCTCACCAGTTTCTCTACAAATAGTGAAGAAATTATAAAATAAAATAATAATTACTTAATATGAATTCAAAAGAAAATATCAGAAAAAAAAGGAAAGAAGGGAAGGTAAAAGAAAAAGAAGTGGAAAACTATGACTACCAATAGAACGAACCTTTCCATGCTATCGAATACAACAGACAGTTAAAATAGAAAGAGTAGTTGCTCTTTTGCAATGCATAGAAACTGGTTATCTTCACATTAAATAAGAAATACAGTAATATCATTTATTAAAAGAAAAAGAAACTAATTGAATCTGACCAAATACAAAGAAACAAAACACTTCTGTTGTTTGTGCATCACTTTTTTTTCGTTACTAACCTCTTTGATGTAAAAGTTGCTGTTCATCCCGAAGATGGCATCTTCCATTTGAGGAGGCATGGGAATAAGCGATTCAGCACGAACAGTTTCAAGGAACATGGGCCGCAAAGACCTGGGTTCTTATAATCAAAACAGGTCATCATAAGATTTGTTTCGTTTAAAAGGATAGACTGCCATCCATTCAAGGGGCAAAACTACAACGATATTTCAAACTTGCATAAACGATGGAGGTGTGCTCTTACCGACGGTAAGTTGTGACGAAACATCACACGAGCAAACTAGAGTGGCCAGGACACTGTACAGATGAGTAAACTCCTGAGCTTGAATTGAGCTCCACCTCCGGTTAGATCCCTAGTTACGGGTAAAAAAGGTAATTATGCGTATATGAAAAAGATAAACAAACAATTGAATAGATGAATACGTGAATAAACGAATAAATGTAAAAATACATCAGTAAAGATATATAATATATATATATATATATAAAGAAGGCAAAAGTAATAAAATTTGTACTCATTAGTCTTACACAGGTAATATTAAGACAAGCGACAACAACAAAGATCACAGAGCGTTACTTCGCCTCGGCCAGACAAAAGAACCAGTCAAGATTGTGAATAAGAAGAATAATGGTACCTGAACTAAGGTAACGAGATTTTAATCTCGCTGCGAAGATCACTCCACCATTTAAAAATGGTCGAGTAACTTTCGCAGTGAGGTGAAAAATACAAATCTGAATTACGTTGGAGAAGTCGTCCACGGGACTCAGACATGTGACCTCTATGTCCCTCAAACAAACTAAGGTGCGGAGCCACTGACGTTCGAAATAAGCCAATTGTGAGCTCACGTGATATACTACCATTTACAACCAATTAGATTACTAGTGCGTCACAAACTGCAGTCGACATAAAGCCATCGTCTCCCCTAACTACGATGTCAAACATAACTCACAAAAATACTCACATTTTCAGCATTGGGTCCGACCAAGAAATGCAGAAACTTTGAAAAGGCTGCTTGGGCTATAAGATGTTCACAAGTCTTTCGATTCTGTAAGGAGAATGGAAATAAGGACTGAGAGTAGTATTTTTTTCCTTCCCTCTTTTGATTTTTCTTCCGTCCTATTGACTGTTGACTCCAAACGTTGTAACTTATAAGAACATAACAAGGGAGTTCTACCGGGAAGTAACAATGTGAAAGATAACTAAACAATGTGGGTGAGAAGGGTTCATATTGACAGACTAACATTAAGTGCAATGGAAAAATGTATTCAGCGCTTATCTTAGGGAAACACTCTTTTACATTTATAAGCTTATGACAAACAATTAAAATGACTATTTTATAATTGGCCACGAGGGTAAAATTGCTTGAACTTAATTGGTTGCGAAAAGTTGTTCTCTGCCCGCCAACAACGTTAGAAAAAAGAGTCACGTAGGACGATAGTGCAATCATTTCATCAAAACATCAGGGGAAGCTGCACAAATGGGAGAAACACACAACCATAGTTCAATGATTTAGAGGAGAGGATAGTAATTTTTCAATCTGCTTGCGTCAGAACTTGAAAGCGTTCCAGCATAAAATCAGTTCAATGGCTTTCCAAGATCTCTTCCAGGATACTCCTCAAGATTTTTCATGACGCTGAGGAAACTAGATTAAAAATTATGTGGAAACGATATTTTAATTAAGGCGTTTCTTGTCTTTTAGATAAATTCAGTGACTTTCCGGACATGAAATTAGACGATCTCTTATGGGTATTCCATAACCCGTACCAAACCTACCGTTCGTAATAAGAAAACTTTTTCATACAGCTGGAATTGCTCACACTGAGAAGAGTAAATTCTGTTCACTTAGTGGTCACGATCAAAAGTACGTATCCAGTTAACCGCTTCCCTGAGAGAAAAATCACTACCCTCCTTATCATATCATTATCCTCGGGTCATACCCAGAACTTACATATTCACTGAGCAACGTTTGGTAAGGTAGGAATGCGCTTTTGTCTGCTTATCAAGAAAGTAATTAAAAAAAGGAAAGTCCGCTAGTATACTGACCATTGTGGCGTATCGATTCATCAGCCAGAAGTACTCCGAACAGCATTTGTGATTGTCTACCACATCACGATCACACATATGCAACAATGTGTCAATCAAAATATTGAGTTGTCCAGATACCTGAAAAGGTTACAAAGTTTAAGTGGGCAGGTCTTTCGAGTGAGGTGGCTCAAAATCAATACCGGAGAATAACGACTCTCGCTGGATGGAACGCTAGTCTACGGCAAAACGAAACGGAAAAAGGTTTTTTTACCGGTCTAGGTCGGTCCTTATGAGAAAACTTTTGTGCCCCTGTGTGGAGTGCAGCCTAGAGCCGTACCCAAGACCCAAGACCTCCGGTACAGTTTTTTCTTTCCCATATAGACCTTCCACCCAGTAAATAATATATCTATACATTAAAATTAAGTGCAATTGGCTCGCCCCGCTCTTTTTAAATTTGGAATGGGTAATTTTTTTTTTCAATTTCTCGAGTCTATGCAGTTTCAGTAACGCACGCCTATTTCGGAACACTCATGCAGAAAAGGCAACTAAGGCGAGAAAGTAAGAAAACAAAAAGGTACTTACACGCATCAAACTAGTCAAAACAAAACGAAACAAAAGAAAGTTAAATACCTAGGTAATTCATCCTCTTAAACCGACGATTATTTAAAACCAGTGCTATTAGGAACGATAAAAGTCTCTTACCACACTCCCTCCATGAAGTAGATAGCTTTCAAACGTAAAACCAAGAATCTGAGCAAATGCTTTACGAACTTCTTGTGAAGGGCATTCCAGGAGGAATGGTCTAAAGTAGAAAGAAAGCGAAATTAAAGACAGAACACACAAACAAACAAACAATCTAATGACTATGAAAGCGATCTTCGCAGTGAAAGATCTTCGCAAGAACCGATAGCCAACCAAATAGCCAAACATCTACATCGTCTGAAAAAATTCACGGTTGTGAGAATAGAAGAAGGGGTTCAATGGTTTTGTGGTAAGATACTGTAGGTTGTCAGGTCGTGTTCGATTCCTATCGTGGTAATTTATTCTACGTAATTCTTTCCCTACACTATTGAAAGGTAACCCTTACTTTGAAATGCATGTGATTTGGTGTCAGTCCAGAGAAGAATTGTCCGTTTGAATGGAAATGAAAGCCAACCTTGTGGAAGGTTTGTGTGACTGGCAAGAAGCAATACCTGATCAATGCGAAATGTTTCAAGAACAAGGTACCCCACTCACAGAGGCAAACGCCACGAACCAAAGTAAGGTATTTCGAGAGCCTAGAGTATTGAATATCGTAGTGCTGGTGTTATTAGACCCACAACATATGTTGCAAGATGACTCGAAAACCGTACCTCACGTAACCTTTGCCTCTTTCTCCAGCTAAGAAGTTGATAAACCACAGACAGGCCTCACTGTTGTTCTTTACTATGTCTCCAATACACGAACACCATTCCTCTGTTTGGGTTCTAAACATTACAGATCCTTGGTAAATACTAAGCATTGCAATGTAAAAATCGTGCTTTAATTTCCATTTCGATGAAAGCTCAGTTCAATTAATGGCTATGGTTAAGCATTGAGTTTGTTTGTCATCGAACCAGACTGAAAGGAAATTAAAAGTAACTATGAATAGAATTGTGCTCATAAGACAACTGTTTGGTTATCACTAACCTAAGTTTCTTCGTCGTTCTAAAATAGGTGTTAAATAAGAACTGAACAGCAAGCTGCAGGCTGCAAACTGACAGGATGGCGTGCTTATCAGATGATGAACTTCTCTGTAAAATCAATATCAAATTGAAGTTACTACCCGGTTCTGTTACAACCCCCCCCCCCCCCCCTCAAAAAAAAAAAAAAAGAGATCCGTTTTCCGAAGACGAAAGAACTAACCGAAAGAATGCAAATACTTAGGAATAATAATTAGAATGAACACTTCGATGACGATACTTACACTAAATAACAGAGTTACCAGGGAAGGGGTGGGTGGAAGTATTTGAGGAATATACCCGCTCAGGCAAGTTAAGAAATTTGAGGGCGTCTCACCGATTTCTGCTAGACGTTCTGGCTCCTTTTAAGAAATCTCTTTGAGCGTATGACTTACCGCATTGCAAGATGCTAGGTTGAGGATAAATCTGAAGTAGTCCACGTTATAAACATCTCTATTTTGCATGAATTGAAGATTTTCAGTGTGAACCTAAATACACAAGAAAATAAATTCTGAACATCTTTCGCTAATACGACATAACGCTAAGTGAGATAAACTGACTTCTTATCAATCCCATACAATAACAGAGCTTCAAAATTCTAACTGATTATAGTGAAAACAAAAATTCTGAACTAACCACTCTCTGGATAGAAGCAGGCATTTTGTCCTTAAAAATGCCTTTCTTTTCTCCTTTCTGAAGTAACGCTGTTAGCTGACTCAGACCGTCTGTCCGGGTGGGTGATGGGGGGCCTGAGCTCGAAGATATCGAGGATGAGGATGGGGAGGGCGGAGAGGATCTGGGTATAAAATAAGAAGAAATAATAAAGCTGGGAAAGAGAGGAAGAGAGTGTGGATGGGGCACAGTTGTAACTAAGAATAAAACGGATTTTAATACAATCAATGGACTACGCTTCCAGCGCAATTTCATTCCGCACTACTCAGAAAAATACCCGATCCCTCCCTTCCTCTCCATTGGGCCCCTGACTGTTAGATTTAGTACTTTGTGCCATGAAGTGTTTTTCCAATTGCAAGTGCATTCATACCTCAGGCCTACATCATGTCGCACCAGTCCACTACCATCACCAAGAGAACCATACTGTGACTTGAGTTTGTCTGAAGACTCATAATAAAGCATGTAGCCATTCCAGTAGCGATGTCGAGTTTCTGGATAACTGTTAACTGCAGGGAAAAGGCGTAACTCCATAATTAGCAAAAAATTCATATACCTCATCTGCCATGTATTCAACGTCTTTCTACTAGCTCTTTTGAAGAGTTCACCACACTCATTTTAAATACCAAATCAGACATGACTTCATAAATGTATTTCAATAGAAGTCAAACTCAAATTCAGGACAAAAATCTTAAAATGAGTTTCCTCTTACAAATAATCTCCTTGTCACAGATTAGCCTGTCGATTCTTCGAGAAATAACTGAAGGCAGAAGAAAAGTTAGAGTGAAAAAATCTACTCCGTATTTCTAGACAGAAAAATGCCATTGGTGAAGTTTCTTGAAAACGACAACAAGCGAAGGCAGCTCTTGGGAAAGGTCAAGTACATTCTAAATTCTCTGTATAATAATATTGGCATAATAGAATTTATTCCGTTGTGTGTGTATACAGAGTATATAAACCAAATTTTCTCGGCTTGATAGGTTACTACTATTTCTTTAAACGACTGTGAATATAAGAAAGTCGTATATTTGAACTGTGGATAACGACGTGAAGGAAAGTGATCTTCGCAGTAATGAACACTTCTTGAGCAGTAGGCCTTATTTTCACTGCTGCTCAAGTAGTGTTCATTACTGCGCAGATGACTAATTCTTTATAGGCATGTGGCTTTGCTGCGCGCACGGTTCGCACGCTTTGCGAGCTCCGCTGTTATTTTAGCGGACTTAATTTTTTCGAGTAGAGACATTGAGTCGGGTTAGAGGCTCTTTGAAACTAGCAGAAACAAAGCCTAAAATTGCACTTCCTGCTCATTCGCTGTCAATGGTCTATGCTTCACCTTTTAGAAGATGGACCTCACTAAAGAACCAAACTTCTCTCAAGGTCGCTCGTACTGTTCAGTACGTGGATGCTTGTTCTACTGGTTAAAGAGGATATTGTGATGCGTTTCTCTAAGTGTCTTTAAAAATGTTACTCACCAGTATCATAAACTGTTGCTTTGTATGTGCCGCCAAAACATTCTGCTTCTAGTGTGTCCTCGTTCATGTCGAATTCCTCAACAAAGATGTCATTGAACTTGTACCACTTTTCTTTACTCTCACTGTCATTTGCACCATTCCTTTTGGGAAAAAAAATATGAAAACAAAGCAAAATGAACAACAACAACAAAAAAACAGAACAAAAAAATAAATGTCACCGGGATTCGTATACTATCGAAATCCTACTATTCCATGATGTTTTCCGTACTATTTTTCCATGACCTACGATTAAGTACCAGCCGCTGTTCGAGAAATGAGTTCCTCGAAGAATCAAAGACTGAATCCGAGAAAATGACGGAAATCGAGGCAAAAGATCGAGGGGCGTGTTTCTCAATGTGCTGTGAGTCGCTCGATGGTGGTAGAGTTTTACTTTGGTCTACAAAGCAGTTATTCTTACTCATGACCAACACTTAAAATTGGTGATTTTCCAGGGCTGGTAATTGATATGATAACATTCGATGACTTTTCAGCTATTCCATGACCGGCACGATCCCCAAAAGAGTATTAGTATAAATCTACCAGTGGTCGATTAAAAAAGCTGCAATCTCATTGGCCACACTAATCGCCATCGACTGCTCATTTTAGGAATTTAAATATGGTAAAAATAGATATTCACATTTGAGCTCCAGGTAATAACATGAGGATAAATTCATTTCCATAACTTTAAAAGATTGAGAAGTATCAACGTTGTCATTGTTTCAGGTCGCTATAAAACACGATCACAGCATTAGCAAGAGAGTTTCACTACAGACCTTCTGTCCTTAATGAATGAGTAATAATGTCCGGCATTTGCTTGTCCGCTATGGACAATGACTCCTACTAGCTCGTACTGAATCTCAGGTGCATTAACAGATACGGTGGAGTGAAGCGAAGACGACGATGCAGACATGTGTAGATCTGTTATACTTCCATTTTCACTGTCTGTATCTGCCTGAAAGTTTGTTGTGGACTCTCGTCTTGATACTCCATCCGTTGTGTATGGCTCCATGTTCAAAACCCAAGGAAACTGGTAAAAAAAATGGAAGTTACTTTTAACTTGTGTTCCTTGTGGAAAAGGGCTGCAGCCAATGAGCACTCGCACCCTGCATTGCTGTTTTTCTTTTGTTGTTGTTGTTGTTTTTTTTCTTTATGGGAGTTTCGAACGGCTGAGCCGCGAGAGAAATATGAAAGAAATAATTTAAAAAATCTGCTTAAATTCAAGGGGTTTTGAGTTTACCCGCACACCTGAAATGTATAACTCTGTTTGGCTGTCTGAGAACGCTTATCGATCCACTTTACGCTCCTTGATCTTGTTTACCTCCCAAGAGTGACGTGGAGGATAAAGAGTTAAAAAGAAAAACCAATCAAGTTCCAAGTAATGGTTTTTCCTCTGGTGGCTTCCTTTCTCTTTTGCGGGGCTCTGCCACTTCACCAAGCGCCCCCCGGACGAAGAAAACAAACGCTGGCTGGAACACCCATTCCATAGTGCAATTATATACTGACGTGGTGTACATTACCTCAAAATGATCGTCAAACTTGAGTGCTCTACCAGCCTCCCAGTCGTAACCAAACCTCTTCAGTTGAATAACAAGGACCGGGGGGAGGCTCTTAATACACATGCGCTTTACGGTAGTTCGCTGAAATGGAAATATTTGCGAGAATACAATGAAAACCAACACAAATGCACACAAAGTGTTTGTAGATGAACCAAAATGCCAGCTAATTGACTTATTCTTGGCATATCTTGCGGTCATCTGTGATCTATTACTAAACAGACGCAGATAACAAAATAATACATCATAAAACACATATTTTAAGAGCAAACCTCCATCTCTTAGGGGGGTCCTTTTGAAGAAAAAAAGTACACCAAAAATTTATAAAATAAAACTAGGCTAAGACAAATTAGTAAAACTAATGAACCTTTTTTTTTTAAGTCTTCATTAAAATTGCGCACTTAGACTCCTATAACTAAGATAAATCGCGTAAAAATGTGGTTAAGTTTCTATTAAAACTCGAGCAAGGCATCCACATGTTTTACACTCAATACAAATAATACATGCATAGTTACTCTTTCATTGCACTTTTCGCAGAAGTAAGCATTGTCCCCTTCAAGTATCTCGCCATTTACAAACTGTTCTAGGGAGTCTTCCAATTTGTGGTTCTTGACAGTCACTTGCAGAGAATGGAAAGCTTCTTCTCTTTCATACCTGTCGCCAAGGAAAGTCACTCATTTACCACCAGATTACCACTTGACATATAATGAATGAAAGTCACTACAGAGCCAAGACTATTACCGGATCCGCTTGAACAATTTAACCGGCCATATCATGGTAAACAACTTCTGATTTCATTTAATTCAATTGTGCCAATCAGTGCTTGGAACTTTAGCAAGCACAGGATTCATGTTTTCCGTTTCTGATAATCAGATTGGTCAGTGTTGTGTGAAAGATCTCGGTTATGAGTCACATGGTAATCTCAGAAAATTTGACCAACCTCTAAATTATTTGCGAGTAATTGACTAACAACACGGAGAGAAAATAATAGATTGATCTCTCACCTGTGATTACATTCTTTACAGATTTTCTGGTCAGCAAACATACCACAAAATGTTTTTTTGAATAACTGCTCTTGTCCTTTTTGCTGAAGATAAAAAAACACTACAGGTTATTCCCTGAATAACAAACAAACTAGACATGATTTCAGATCTTTATTCAGCTTGAGAAAGATCTTTGTCTCCATATAATCATTTCAAATAAATATCAGATGGTTTCTTTACAGAATTAAAGCATTTCTGTTCTTGTCTTGGCGATTTCTTTAGCTCGTATGTTCGTTGCTCATTCAAAATAAGGGATATTTTTTCACTTACTTTCTTAAGAAAAAAAAATTATTACCAATCAAAGAGGAAACGAAAAACAACTTACCTTAAGGATTTCATCGAGCTGATCCGTTAGGTTACTAAAGAACTCAAAAGCATCCTGCCAAAAAAAAAACGAAACAAAAAAAAAACAAAACAACACAAAACAAAAAAAGAGCATACAATTCATTAGCCACGAATGAAAAGAAACGCTGCCACTGTTGACTTTCGCTCAATGGCGATTGAATCATACGCCAGTAAGCATTCATCGAGATACGAAGCACGTGGGAAGATTAGAGCGCACCAAAGGATGCGTCAGAGTTGCTCGCCGAGAACAACTTTTATTAACTTCTTGAATGCTCCCCTGACTTTTTAGGCGCCTCACATCTTGATGTACGCATAGCTTTCTCACATTTTTAACGTTGGAATGATTTTGAAGCCTTTGCACCCTTACATCAGAGTGAAAAATCTTTCCATTTCACATTCCCTTCGATGCTGACAAAGACAGTTTGTTTAACAATAAAGAGCTTTCTTGGCTGATGATCATTTCCTTTATTCTCGTGACCTTCATGTGCGATTCAGGGGTGATATTGTAAGAAGAAGAAATTAGATGCCAGTCACTCTTAGGGGTCAAAAGAACTTCGTCTGTCAAGGTTCAATGGATACACAGATCACCTGCCTAAACAGTAGGGGTACAAAACACTCTCCCACGATTTAAAATACCTCCACAACTTCCTAGCCATGGTTATCAACTGAAATAAATAACTCATTTCACCCACCTGTTGTTCACGAACATTGACTGGTTGGCCCCATAGCTTGAAACATTTCCAAAATTGCTCAGGGGCAAAGAACTGTAACTTGCTGTCCATCAAGTGGCCAAATAGCGATTGAACTTGGAAAAAGACGCTGCGAATAGCGCATAGAATGAACAGACAAGAAAGTCTACTTAAGGTTACAAAAACATTACCACATCAGGTAAAGAAATTGATTTACCGGAACAAGCGTGTGTCTACAATTTATTCACTAATTTGCGCAACTTTTGTGTCAAATTAGAGAATGGGAACGGCAATGGTATGAAATAGTTGAAAAGCATTTTCTCATTGTATAAAATAAAATATCCCACCTGTAACAAGCATTTTCTTGGTTAAAAAATTCAATTGAACGCTCGCGTGTATACAGAGGACGTACCTGTGACTCGTGGGATATTCCATACTACAAGAAAGTGCCATTTCTAAATAAATTCTGGCACTTGAGAACTTGGAAAATGGGATACTGAAAGCGTTTTATGATCGGAATTTATAAAATACGCTGATATAAGACACTAATGTTGGAACATTTTAAGCTCATCACACTTATGCACGATACTGTGGGGATATTGTTGGTGTGAGAAACTGCAAAGACATCTATGTTTAAAACAACAATGTGCACATATTTTGCTTAATACACTCCGCAGTAGCATACTAAACACCGATTAAGCTTCGTAAAGTTACAAGAATGTCATACCTTTCTTTATCTGGATGAAAATCATCAAATGACAAAATTGCCTATCGTAAGAGAAAGAAATAGAAATTCCGTCTATAGAACTTGCATATGTTATCGTTGAATACCCAGGAAGTAATTGTATGCCACTGTCTTGTCAACACTCGACGCAAAAACTACCACCTTGTTCCGTCCAAAAGTACCCGAAATACTCAGCTGTTCAAAGCCCCTTAGGTGGTTCTATCACCACAATTACCAAATTCTAATTGATAAACTACGAGGTTTAACATCGCATTAACTCTGTTCAACACACGACGAAACAGTGTTGTCACCAACAACTTTACTCAAGCTAACAAATGACTCACAATAATCACAAAGAAATCAAACTAAAAAATTCATGTACATATCGTTTTCTGTGACGTGAACAGACCCACCTCTCTTAGTCCTGGTTGCATGTACAACTGTTGAAGAACAGAGTTCATATAGCATGTTGCTCCCGCATTCTTAAGACCAACAAATCCACACTGAGCCCGTGGGGCAACTGGAGGCTGGAACTAAAACAGTACAAGTGTATTGCTGTTAGCTGCATTCGTAAGACTAAACGTAAAATAAGGATTATCAATTCATAAGGGCTCTTCAGGAAATTTTTTTTTCCCTATATTATGCCGCAAATGCCCCGGCCAGGTTTTCACCTTCCAGCAGGTTCCGCAAATTTCCCCCCTCTTCTCAATGTAGCTTTGATTGAGGGCATGATTTGCACTGGCGTAAAGGTTTTCGGCCTATTTAGATGTATATATTTTTTGTCATGAGTATAGTAACGATTACAACTCATTATGATCAAATATTCGATATTCAGCGTCTTAAAACAGGATTTACAACCATTAAAGAAGACAGGTTTTCGTTTCAACCCTTTATCTAAGAGTGATAAGCATCTAATTTCTCCCACCGCATCAGCCCTGAATTAAACATTATGGTAGTGAGAATTGAGGAAATGATCCTAAACTCAAGAACCTCTTGATCGTTAGACAATTCTCCTTGTAAGTACCACAGGAAACGTGAGAGAACAGTAAGGAGAATATGCATGGTGATGTTAGGGTGTAAAGGGTTAATAAAACGGTAGCATGTTCGTTGCTGGGATATCAACAAAATGAACTCAAAGTGTACCAACTTTTTATCTCCTATTCAAGCATTTAAAAAGAAATTCTGGAGATAAATGACTTTAGATAACAGGCCTAGACAAACACCACAAAATATTGATGAACGTACCTCCCACTCTTTAAGAGTACCAGGATCTCCAATATGATGCATACTAATTAATTGTGACACAATGTAAACCAGATTTTCAGCGCAGCCAGTGGCCAGTTCCACCAACAGCTCATGCGCAGCTACTTGACACTCTCTGGCCACACATCTGAAACAACAACAAAAAACTATCAAATATGATGGCAAAATAAAAAGATAGAACCGAGAGGACTACAATGAGATAAGATTAGATATTTTTAAATTCAATTTTTGGCAGTTATAATTAACAATTGGTTCATATGTCAGCGTGCGTTCATCGAGCTATGAAGCACGCGGGAAGTT